GGAAGGAAGGAAGGAAGGAAGGAAGGAAGGAAGGAAGGAAGGAAGGAAGGAAGGAAGGAAGGAAGGAAGGATAACCAAAACTCTTGCTGAGGCAAGAAACCAACTCAAAAAAAGGTGCAGGTTTCATGAATTCACAAAACAGTGAATATCTAAAGACTCTACAGGAGAGGAGAGCAAAATATCAAGCAGCGTAAGCAAGGCAGAGCCCCATGGTATCCACCACATTTGAATCATTAATGTTCATTTAAATCACAAAAGTTCAGACTTAATTTCAGCTGAAAGGTCTTATAGTAATACTTAGTGCCCAGTTCTCTTATTTTGGCTGGTTAAATGAAGAAATTGTTCATGACTGTCTTCAAACAATTGGTCCCCAGGTACTATGATAGCTCATACTGGTAGCATTCAGCATTGTCCACTGAACTGAAATTATTATGCTATTAATATTAAATATATTATATAATTTAAAATATTTAATATATGGATGCTACATCAATATTAAGAAGGCCTGACACTTCCTACTGCAAACCCTATTTTCAGTTAGTTAAAACTTCTCATACTTGTAATGATTTGACACAAAATTTTCCGTGCCAGGTGTCTGCCTCAGGCAGAATTTTGTGGTGTTCTATCGTGTGTTTGTTTTTTTTCCCCTTTTAATGTCAGCCAGAGCTGAGCAGTTATTTCTGTGAGCAGCCGGCCAGGGAAAACCATGCAAAATAAACCTGGGAGCCTTTTAGAAGGGACCAAGTGTGTCCTTCTCCTGGGGGAAGGCACTTAACCTTTGTCAAAGGTGTGACTTTCTTTTGGAAACCTGCTCCAGTTGGAAATCCTGCTGGGAGCTGGGTGAACCCTGTGTTCCCACCAGCCTGTTGGAATCTGATGGATACAGCCATCCACTCTCGGTGCCTTCAGCTCCCAGCCAAAACCACCCTGCCCTGTGCTTTCCCCCCAGACAGACAGCAGCTCCTTCCAGCTCCAGTCAGGAAAACTGCTAGCAATGAGAAAAAAAAAAAAGTGACAAATTTCAACCACCTTTTCTCCTTTTCTTCATGGCTCATCTTTACCTTGCTCATGTTAAACACACTGAGCATCCCTTAATACCTGCTTGTGCTTTTAATTCCTGAAGTAGGTCTGCAAAGGACTATAAGGAAATCTTGACATAATCAGTAAGTTTTAAGGCTAAAGTACTGAGATTTTTCTCTGTTTTCTGTCCAAATGGTTTTATCAGCAAGATACCTTCAAATTCAAACTTACTGCCCATGTTATAGGAAGAGGTCCTCCTCCTCCTTCTCTCAGTGGGCAGAACTTGCCTGCCTTGTCTCATGTTCTCCAACATCTGTCTCAGATTTGGCAGCCCCAGCTCAGAGCCTGAGACTGCAGCAGTGCTCTTCCCTCATGCTGTGAAGCCACAGCACATCCTGGTGCATCCCCAGGAGCATGGTGCTGTCCTGGGAGGCTTTTCCACACCCTGCCTCTTCCACCTACCCAGAAATTGCAGATCAGTTTGTCAAAATAATGCAAAAGGTTTAAGGTTTTATCCTAAATCTGAAGTGGAAGCACATAATTACGATTTCTGGTATAGCATTAATTTGAATATTGCTTCTTTTAGTGGTATTCATACACTCCCAAATACCCAAGTATTTTTATTGTAAAAATTTCTGACATTTTTCTATGTATCGATGCTCTGGAGACCAAAGCAATTTCTAGGGGATTTTAAGTACATTTAATCTAGTGTTGTTTTCTTAACTTGACATTTCTTAAATTCTTGAATACTCATTTTGGAGTATCTCAGTTACATTGCTTATAAGATGACAAACTTATACATCTCCTATAACTCATAGAATTCAGAATAGTGATAATTTTCTTGCAAAAAACCATTTTCATGTGCAGAGCTTGTTTCTAGTCCTTTTGCTCTTTACGCTGCATAACTGGTGTGTTAAAGGATTTAAGTATAGACAGAAATTACACTAAAAATTAGATTTGTTCAGCAAAACTTTGATTGCTTTATCACAGCTTTTTATGATAGCATTCAGTTCAAAGCTGTTTGCATACCTTATTGAGCAAGCTGCATATTTTTCCAGCATGTGTATCCAGTGTGTATCCTGTAGTCATTACATTTTTGCACACTTCACCGCCTGAGCTGCATGGACTATTTTAACTATCACCAGGAATACTTGACGGAGTTCAGCTGCTCATTTGAGTGCTTCAGTTTGTGTGCTTTATTGCTTCAGTGGCGTGTGTTGATAAAGTTCTGCTCTGTGCTGTTGAGTTTTTGGTTCTGCCAGCCTAGCTCGGTGCCACGCTGGGGGAATTGCACGCGCTGCAAACCGCTCGCTCCGCGGCGAGCGGGAGCGCTCGAAACGCTATCATCTGCAGTGTTTTGTTAAATGAGCTGCATATTTTTGTTTTTATATACATTGCTTACCCAGTTGTGTACATTTGCCCAACTCATTATACAAAATAAGCTTGATTGGAATAAGAACATTCTCTACCAGCTGTCTGCTCTGAGTCAGTATGTAACAAAATTAGCAACTTTCCCTTTCCAACAGTGACATGATTGCATCCAAAGTTTAAGGCAATTGGTTTGGAGATCTTGTTTGTTTCATTCACTCCATGCAAACATCAAGATTAACAAACCAATTTGTTGCAACTTAATTTGTTTTCAAAAATATGAACAGAGTTAAGTAACAGAGGAAAATCTGAGCATTCTAATAGGGGGAAATGCTTCCATGTAGGGCATAAAGCCTGCAGAGACCTAAATAACATCCTCTAACTTGAAGCCATCCATTGTGAATGTAAGAAGATGAAAAATAACTAGAGACCTCCCAAGGTGGATATTTAATCAGATAAGCAATATCCTAAACACTTAAAATGACAAACAAAACATTCTGTAAAGTAAGTGCATTCTTTCTTCAAGAGTTATAAAAATAAGTTCATCTCATGACCATTAGAAAATCTCAAAATGCATGAAAACTCTTGTGCTGGGATTTGTAGTTTCCTCACTACCTTCGGTGCAAAATTCAATTACCACCTTCAAGAAAGTGGTTTTCTCAACTTGCTAGTTTTTCATGTCAGTTCTAGTCAAACCTACAGGTTATTTTTAGATTTTGCTTTTACTAATCTGCAGAATTTGCAACGTAGATGTATGTACTCCCATTCACAAAATCTTCAGCACTACCTTACCTCAAAAAAATCTGGCTTAATTTTTCTGGAGTCCAGAGCTACTTAGGGCTGTGCTGTTCACCTGGCATCCTACCTGCCCCATAGGAAAGGATAAATGTGCCTGGTTCCTGTTTGTGTCCCACTGCTGGTCCCTTTCACTTTCACCTCATCACTCCCTGTTGCCTGAGCAGACTGCCTGGAAGGTCCAGATGTGTTTTTGCAAAGTTTTACATATAAAAGCTTAATTGATCTTATTGTTTCACCCAAAATTTGTTTGATTTTAAAGAGTGATCAATCACTTAGGCTTCTCATAGACCATTATGAAGGGTGCCAGCATTTAAATAGCTTGTTCTAAAAGAAAAGTGTGAATATAATTGTTAGTGGTTTGTCTTCACTTCTACCTTTAAAAAACAAATGTAAAGAGAGATGTAGAAATTGAAAATATCATTATATTGTGGACTGTTTTATAAAAACTAATTTAGACTTCATATTTTGTTTTGTTGGAGTACATCAGTGCTGGGTATCAAGAGTACAACAAATGAGGGATACTGCATTTACCCTCTGAAAAGTCAGTGTACTCCATGAGATGAGCTAGATCAAATTTAGACTTTCATAACAGAGACAGAATAAGTAATTTTGTATGAAACAACTTGAAGCAGACAGATGGTAAAGAAAGTTTTTGTCTGTTTTCTCTTGTTGTCCCTCTGCATTAATTTGCTTTTAGTATCAGTCCATTACCCTTTAAGATCCAAATTTTGCCCTTCCTTGACCTGTTAACCAGTTTCCCCAAAGTTTTAGTTGAAACTAAGATCAGGTTTAGAATATTTTCCTCTTATCTATCATATTCAAACAACAGATGGCTATGTGCAATCTCTCTGTAGGTATCCTGTACACTTTTTGAAAAGGAAAATTCTTCCTTTTTCCAGGGGAAAGGAAGAGAAATATTCCTGTCTTTGAGGGGTGAAAAAAACCATCAGGAACCTTTTTTTTTTGCTGCTGCTGCTGCATGAAGGCTCAGAAGGGTGGGGGATCACCCTTGGTCAGTTTGCAGGTGACACCAGCTTGGATGGGAGTGTTGAGAGGCACTGTTGGAGGCAGGAAGGCTCTGCACAGGGTATGGACAGGCTGGGTTGGTGACATAACATATAGGATAATAGGATAAGAGGTTTTACCAGAGGAGGTTTTAGATTGTACATTAGGAAAAAAATTCTTTGCAGAAAGGGTTGTTAAGGATTGGAACTGCCTGCTGAGGGAAGAAGTTGCCTCTTCCAGAGGGATGTAGATGTGATGCTCAGGGATATGGTTTACCCATAGATTTGGAAGTGCTGGATTAATGGTTGGACTTGATCTTGGAAGTCTTTTCTGGCTTCAGCAATTCTGTGTTTCTACCCTATGATTCTATGAAGCAGATGGAAGGTTTTCTCAAGGAATGCTACCCCATGTCCCAGCTTTCCAACCACCTCTGTCATGTTCACATTATCACATCAGTGCAGCACATTGGACTTGCTCTGCTTATTTTTTCATCTGGCTAGGATTCCTACTGAAAAATCAGCATGCTAAATTAAAAACATATATTTCATATGTATCAATGCAGTATAAAACAATGTGGACATTTTAAATTCATAGAACAGACAGGATATCCATTATCTGAGGCCTATGGAGAATAACAATAATACATAAGCTACACATCTATTTCATATATTATCTGTGTATATTTTTATGCAGCTGGTATAGACAACACACATAGAAACTTTCAGAATTTATACATGATCTCTTTTTCTTTTTTTTTTCCCCTCCAGAGAGTAATTTTCAATGTTGTCAACTTCAGTAAAACAAAAAGCCTCTACAGAGATGGGATGGCTCCAATGGTGAAATCCACAAGCCGTCCAAAATGGTGAGTTATTCTCTCAAAGAATTAATGAGATGTTAATGTTTTACTTGGCACTTGTACCAAAGACCCTGTGGTTGAGGAGCACTTTTACCTGAGAGTATGAGAACCTTGATACAGCAGCGTTGTGAGGACAGGTTCTCTTTGGAGAACATGGACAGTGTGAATTCTGGACCTTGTTTCAAGAGGCATGACTGAAGTGGTGTCCATTTGAGCAAACTGAGCAGTCAGGGCTTGGGGTGAATTGTTTTCCAGTGACTGTCCAGCTCTTAGGACAGTAATTGTATTTTTGTCCTGCAATAGTCTCCTGAAAAACCCCTGCAAATAGTGTGGGAGATGGACTGGGGTTGGTCTGGTTTTGAAAAGCTGCTTGGAATTGTTCAGCCTATTTTGGGATGGCTGGAATTTGGTAGAGGAACGTGAGCTCTGCCATGTGAGTTGACCTCATGTGAATGAGCAGTGCCTGGTCTAAGACAGAGGGAGGCCAAACAACCTCATCATCAGCTGCATAAAATGTACAAAACGGGAAGTCATGTGCATATTAAACATGTGAATACCCATATAGATTGTACATTTTCTCAAAGCAAATGTAATGAAACATCTACTGTGAATAATAATATGCAAATCTAGTGAGTCTGAATGCATGCAAGACTCCCAAGAATTATATGATTTGCCTTTGCCAGGAGACTTGTTTGAATATGGATAGTGAGGTTAGGCCAGAGGTGTACAGTAAGTTATTCTTGTCAGCCTTCACAGCTGCTACTTTTTATTGGTTAATTAGTAATACATTTGATCAAGGTGGACATTATCTGGGCTTTACAAATATATCTTTCTTAAATGATTCAACTGTCACAAATTTTCCACTCAGGAGATGGAAATGGTCATAAGATTGTTCTCATAGTGTGGCTTCCTCTTCATGTGACCAACAGAATGGATATTTGGCTTTTTGTCTAGATGATAAGGTCATATGGACTGTCTCACAGTCATTGGAACTGTGTCAATTCCAGTTCAATAAGAACAGGTAATAACATTGAAAATTAATTTAAAAAATCCATTGCATTTAGTGTTTTTGTAGCAAAAGTCATGTTAATTGTGTTTACTATTTAACTTCAGAAAAATCTTTTGGGGCATTTCAGGGCCACATTTATCAAGCATATTTTAATCATCTTTCAAAACCTTTTCCTTCTCTCACTGGGGTCTGGCATCTGCAGCTAAGCGTATTGTGTTTTAAGTTTATCTATAAATCAGATATTGCTTTCATACAAATTTTATGCCTTACTTCGGTTTCAAATTAAAGTGTAAATCTTACAAAACAATGCAAAATTGACTTATTTTTTTTAGAACATAGAGGCTCCTTCACTATTTTTAAAACAGATTTCTCTTCCACTTCCCCGGAGACCTATTTATTTTTGTGTTTTATATTTTTAGAGGATGTATTTTGCTCCCATGAAAGTGAGGAATGAATAACATTGCCTGAAGCCAGGCACAGTGTAGGCAGCAGGTGCTGAGCAGCTTCCTTTTACAGGGCTACTACCACACTTTAATCCTGTTTCAAAAATTCAAGATGCAATTTTTTTTTTTCTTTAAAAAGATGATTATTCTATTAAGATATTTTTATTTTTTTCTAATAGTCTGCATATGAAAACATCTTGCTCTGCTTTGAAGGTGCACATTAATTCATACTGTTATCAGGGACCTTAGTGATATTGGGGTCTACTCAGTATAATTTTCTGTCTTGATGTTAATAGGATTTATGCATGTGTTTTCCAAGTGGGAAAACATATATATTATTTTTGGATATATGAGCTCTATCAGGGATGTCTTCCATTTGGATTACGCCTGTCACAGTTACCTCTGTATCTGTTTCCATGGCATTCTGCTGCAACCTGTAAACAAAATTTTCTCTTTCTCTGTTTGCTGAAATAGGATTTGCCAGTCCTTGCAGCTGCTGCTGCAGCACACAGGTGGTTGTGGTCCTTCAACAGGAGCAGGGCAATATCCAGCTGCACTGATTTGATGCTGTTTGATGTTTTGTAAGCATTAGTCCTGTAAGCAATATTGCATCGTTCAGTGCTGCAAAAGTGCTGAGCTTTACATGAGGGGAGGAAGGTGTGGAAGGAAAATATTAAAACTCTCCACATCCTGTTAGGGTTTATGTCAGCATAGCAGTTTTGTGGACACAATGTAATTAAATTAGAAAATTATATATTAATTATGAAAAGCTGAAGAAACACCAAAGTTTCTAAAATCTAGTTGAAAGGAAGATTACCAGTAGCCATGGGCTACAAAAACTCTGTAGCTCACGCTTCATCCCTGAACTCCTCTGTATGAAATATTTGAGGAATTAATCATTATTGTGCCTGCCTGTGGAGCCATTTGTTCCATGCCAAAATTCACCCAGCTTCCTCTGGCCACACTGATAGGCACAACTCTGTCACACATAACTATTCCTCCCCCTTTTTTTAGATAATCAATTTTGAGTTTTAGATGATAAATTGCCCGTTTTCCTTTTTTGCATTTGAGAGATATATGTATATTATCCCTCTTTATAACAGATGTTCAAGCCTGAGTTATGGCTTTTTGATTTAAATGAGAAACTTCCTACTGTATTCAGGCTAGAATTTGACCGTATTGCTCACAAACCCCTGCATATCAAAAGTAGATTGGCCTCCAGAGACTGTGAATTTTAATATTTGTTTTGAATGTGGTTATGCAAACATGGCTCCAAGCTTTGCAACACTTTGTGAGTTTGATTCTTGACTCTGGAACAAATTGCTGCCAAGTGCTCTTGAAGTAGAGAGTGTGTCAAACAGAGATCAACGTTTTTGACCTGTATTCTCTTGCCCTGTGGGGTAAGATCTTTAAATGCAGACAGCATCAAGGTTCAGCTCAGTGTTACTGATGCAAATGGAGTATATCACTGTCATCAAAGCACTCTATGTGGACACAGATGTTCTGGTGTTGACATATTCTTCTCTTTTGAAGTAAGGCCAAACATTTCCAGTAATGAGCTACTGGAAAAGAGGAAGCAGTAGGGATATCCTTGAGGGATAAGCAAAAATATAGGTTTCACTGTAAAGAAAAAGATTTCTTTTAAAAAAATTTAAAAGCCTGAAAATATATTCTGATTAAAGTGGTATATATGCTTTCCCACACGTGGTCATGGGCACTAAATAATAAGGGATTGTATTGGTTCTATCAAATTTCACTGGATAGAAGCACAGCTCACATATAGAAATACAGCAATGTGTCACACCTTGTGACATCAATTGCTTTCCACAGCAGACTGGACGAGATAAAACTAAAGGTTTTACTACAAACCAAGGAAATGGACCATGTCACTTTTACATTTTGCTTAAAATTAACTGTTTTTTCAGCTATATCACACCAAGATTTTAGAGAATTGGAGGGCATTTTAAAATCAAAAATTACTATTTATAATTTTTTAATATAAAACCTCAGTATCATAAAGACCTGTTCTGATTTGCCTGTGTCTGTTTTTCCTGTTTAGTGGAGGTGAAGAATTTGAAGGGAGATGGATTTGAGGAAATTGAATTTTGGCTGTGTTTGTGGAATTTATACTGTAATCCTATTTTTCCTTGCTGCTTGATTTAAGTACAATATCATTTTTTTGCAGTTTCTTAATCATGATTTCACACTAAGAGCTCTGTCTTTGGAAGTAAAGGTAGTAAAGCCTGCCATGTGGGCATAGCAGTGGAAGACCATCTAAGTACATATACTGTACTATTATATTGATTGCACAAAGTTTTACAAGTTTCTCAAAGTTAAATAGAAGAGTGAGTTGTTGGAGAGGCAGCAGATTTTCCAAATGATGAAGTGAGCAAATATTCCCTTTGGGCAGAGAACAGCTATAACTCTTGATTATTCAGTGTGAGCATTGCCTCATTGGGGACATTAGTTTTTCAAATTGTGCTAATCTTTTAAAAGTAACAACTGGCCACTCATCACCTTAGGTATTTCAGCAAGATCATGTGCAAAACTCTAATTAGTATTTATAGAACAGCAACTCCTCCCAGTAGAATAGTAGCGGTAGCTGGCAAATATCTGGTTGACACCTGTTAAGTCTTTAGACATCCATTGTATTTTATTCTGCATTTCAAATGAGCAGAGAGCAGTAGGTGAAGTCCCCATAATTAAGGGATAAAGGATAATAAATAACATGGCTCTTGAGTGGATGAACACAAGGTTAAAGGCTGTTCTGCAGTTTTGGTGCTGTATTTCAGGAACTGTTTGTTTGGAAGTTATAATGCTAGCTAAAATATTATTGAGCCTTCAGCATACGTAGGATTTATGTCTAGATCTAAATGTGTTTTGTTTATAATGTCAGATTTCAAACTGCTTCTTGGCAAAGCAGTTGCTTTCTTCCCTGTCTTTTATCTCACTCGGCACTGATGGCTTTTAACCGGGTAGCTCCTTTCCCCAGCAAGCACTCTGCTACCTCTGCTGCTGTAACATCTACTGCTAAATGCTCACAACACATTGCTTCTGAAGTGTTTTTCTATTCCAGCAAACCTGGAAGAACATAAAAACTTCTGGGTAATTAATTCAAATTTGAATCTGTATGTATCTTGGTAAATATTGTCATGATGAGGAATTTTGGTAGACATCAAGAAAAGCAATGTAAGTTTTATGAACAATACTCCCATATGTTCCATTCATCAGAAGGGGACAAGTCTGAGAAAATCTGAATTTTGAGTAGCTAAAATGTGTTGCTTCTTGCCAAGTTTCTTTAACATTTGTGTCTACAATGCAGTGTTACAATCACTACCATGTCTACCAGGCTGCATTATACATTCTGAGACTTTCAGCAGCATTTTTAGTATGTATTTATATATCTTTAGCCATAAGATAAGCTGTTTGTGAAATGAGCTGTCATTTGTGGTGAAACAGTTTGAGAATAAAGCACTAAATATATATATAGCTTGCTAATCTGAAAGACTAAAATTGCTTACTATAAAATATATAGCAGGCTGGGGCTGGTGATA